CTTTCATCCTACTCTGGAAACTTCACTGGAATCTGTTCCGCAAGGCACCCTCACAGACAGGTGACAGTTGTGCATGAGTTGCATGGCTGAGAATCGGACCGACACATTCTCTCTCTCTTACTCTCATTACCATTCAGTTTGAACTGACTCACAGCTGACCCTCCATTGAGTTTTGAAAGCTGTAAATCATTCAGGAGGAGATAGCCCTCCTTTCTCCCAGAAAGTCACTAGTGGATTAGAACTTCCACAGAAGTACAATCTTTGGGTTAGACATTCAGCTGCCTCTGAACTACACAACCAGAGCTCTCCAGAGTATTTCACATGGAAAGCAAGAATTCTACTTCTGAACAACCAGTGTCCTCCATAATAATGATACCTAAATCCTTTACTGCTGAATCCATTCCAATAGTGGTTATTTATTGAGCACTCCCTATGTACCAGGTATTATATGATGTTGTTTTATATACACAGTCTACTTAACACACACAACCCACAGAGTTAGATCCTGTGCTTCCATCTCCCAGATGAGAAAACGGAGGCTCAGAACAGCAAAATAACTTGGCCAATGTATCGCGGCAATGATAAGGTTTCACTCTTAATCATGGTGACATTGTCCTTATGTTAGAGTGAAGGATGCTGGGAGCAAGACCAATCTGATGTAAGCTATGTTTGAGGTGGGGATGTGTGTGTATGTGGGACTGTTCAACAGTCTTGGGGGTGATAGAAATGGAAAATAAGAGTCTGTGGTTCATGGTAGTTGCCGTTTAAGAGTTATGATCTGCATAGGAAATCTATGTGCAAGATTGTTAACACTCACTTACATACTTGGAACTCTGTAAAGACATTTTTTTGTTTTTAGTTTTTCTCTTGTACAAATGATGTACTTTGAAAATGTTAGCATATAAGGTTGATGGATGCTTGTTTTCTGTTTGATTTTGAACAGAGAAAATAAAAGGGATGGGTATACATATAAAAAAAGGAGTTATGATCTGTAGGAGGGAGGTGACAACACTCTTTAGGTTAATGTACTTCCAGATGGGGGTCATTTCTATGAAAAGCCCCTGACTAGAATGGCTATGTAACCTCACCACCTATATCCTCCTGCTCTTTAATGCCTTGTCGTCTCCCAATAGTGCCTCCCAGCCCACCAAGGTGCCTGAAAGTCAGTTTGAACAATGCCCATCACCTTCCTTTCTCCCACCAGCCCCTGACAGCAGACATGAGGGACCATTAGTGCCCCGAGCAAGAGTTCAACCTGCTTGACTTGCCACATGACTGCTGGGTCTCTCTGAGCCTCAGTTTCCTCACCTGAAAATGAGGTCTAGACTAGTGTCCAGTCACACAGTAAAGCCAGCACCCCTAGTTCAAATCCTGGCTCTGCTTACTAGCTGGCTGACCTTGGGTCAGTTGTTCAGCTTCTCCGCACCTCTGTTTTTTAATTGCAATAAGAATTTTGGGTTGGTTTTTTTTTCCCCCTCAGATGGAAACGGGTTCAAAGAAGCTTTCATCAAAGCGGTGCAATAAGAATTTTTGAAAGGATGAATGCTTGAACTGTGCCAAGAGCTTTCTCCAACACTGCCTGGAACATTGTAGCACCATAAAGGTTAGCCATTAATATAATTTATTATTATTATAATTATAATTGTTATTACATCATGGTGTTGTGAGCATGAAATGAAATGTTACATGTACAGGATTACTAATACTGGCAGCTATTACTATTATTATATAGGAGTCCTCGTGACCTAGTGGGTAAGGACTTGCACCACAAACTCAAAAGCAGGCAGTTCGAATCTACCAGCTGCTTCTTGGGAGAAAGATGGGCAATCTCCTCCCAGGCAATTCATAACCTCTGAATACCCACTGGCAGATCAGCTCTGAGGCAGGTCCAACTCAACAACAACATTATTACTATCTGTGCTGTAGGATTCTTAGGGGGCTCAGCTGTCCTAATCGATAAGGGATTGTTCTGCTAACCCAGAGACTACATCTCTTTGGAGGTTTGAAACCACCCACAGCTCTAGAGGACAAAGATGAACAATTTCCTTTTGTGTTATTGACAGCCTTGGAAAACTGAGTAGAGGGTGAGCTATTGATTCTGAGTTGATGATAATGAGAAGTAGAGATGTTTTATAGGGTGGTTATGAGTCAGAACAGCCTAGGCAAGTTGATTTTGTTTTTTATTATTACTACTTAGAATTATGGTCATTATTATTTTCCCAATTGACAGATATGGAAACTGAGGCTCAAAAAAGAAGTGGGGGTCTCAAAGCCATCAAGGTGTGTTCTTAGAAGGCAATTTCCGCTCTTGAGAGATCAAAGTTCTGGACTCTGCAGCTCCCAGCCTCAATCTCCCCATGGGAAGACATGGGTGGAAGGAAGTGGCTGGAGGAGAAGGTCCCTAAGGGCGTGGTCTAGTTTCCCCACTGCTGAGGAAGGCAGGAGAGCACAGTGGTTAAGTCTATGAGACTGGGACCAGCAGTCAGGGCCGGGGAAAGCCCACTTCTACCATTTGTGAGTTGTGCAAACTTGGGCACCTGGCTTCACCTGGAGGAAAGCTGAGTTTTGCTCATCTGTAAAAGGCAACTCTAACCACCTCCCCTCAGGGTTGCATAAACCCACACCTCCAGGCCAACTCTTTAGAAGCTGTGGAGTATGTGGCTATTAACATTAGCATTAGCTAGTAACGGTACTGCAGGGCTCTGAGCAAACAGATTGTGAAGGATGGATGAAGAGAAGGATGGAGTCCCTGGGTGATGCAAGCACACTTAACTGCCAATTACAAGGGTGGTGGGTTGAGGCCACCCTGATGTGCAGTAGAAGAAAGGCCTGGCTATTTACTCCACCACTAGCCCCCACCAAACACCCCCCCCACCCCCCGCCACGAGCCATTGAAAACCGTAATAAACACCGTTCTACCTTTGACACACATGTACCTCCGCAGCTCAGAATTGACTGGAAGGCAAATGGGTTTTGTTTTTGCTTTTAAGACCAGGATGGGCAGCCTGGCTGGGCTTAGGGTCCTCCAGGGTCCCCATCCTCTCCAGTCCTGGGAATAGCAGAGAGGCAGGAAGGTGGGAAGGAAGTAGGTAGGGGCGGGGACTGAGACACATGCGTACTGGGTGGGGGTAGGGAATCAGGAAGAAGGACAGGAAACTCCCTCCCACCCTTCCCCCAACTTCCCTTTCCTTCAATTTCTGCTGGAAAGCCTCCCAGGCAAGGGGATCCAGGGGGTCTCCCACCTGGGTGGGGGCTGGGACAGGAGAAGATTCAGCTGTATTCTGTCAAGTAGATTGAGATAGGAGGTCCCTGTTCCTGTCAGTCAGTGCTCTGTGGAGTGGGAGGGGCCAGCCCTTCCCTAGCCCTCGAGCCCTCTCTCCCATCCGGAGGAAAAGGCTAAAGGAAGCGGAGATTTTGGCCAAGGTGACCGTGGGGAAGGGCTTATCTGCTCTGGGGTGTCCCTCCTGTGAGGGTGCTCTGAGGATCCCTGACAAATCCGGGCAGGCAGGTCACTGTTGAGGCTCCCACCGCTAGGGCACACACCTCAAGCTAGGAGCTTGCCTTTTCTTCTCTGCTACACACACCTTCTCGGGTGGCACGCACGGCAATGGCCCCTCTGTCCCCTACACACACGGCTTCATCCACACACCATCTGTGGTACACATATAGCACACACACACACACACACACACACACTTCGCACACATACCCCCCTTGTTACATTCTTGGGATACACATACACACCTTCCCTTTTTTTTAACACTCTAAGAGTCATTCACACACGCTCCCTGCTACACACAAGAGCCTTGTCACACCGGTGCCCGCTCCTCCCTTGCCTTGTTACACACCTTTGTGCATTTCACACACACCCCCAGCCTCGCTCTTGTCATACACCCACCTTCCCTGGGTGCACACACCCCCTCTGATGTCATCTTGCACACCTCTCTGTGTCACACCCAGCCACAGCCTCTCTGGAGTCACACCCACACCCTTCTCTTGTCACATCCCCTCCCCGTTCCTCCCTGGCCTGGGTGTCACACACACACACACACACACACACACACCCCACCCCACACAGCCTCACGTGCTCATACAAGGACCCAGCCCATTTGCATCCCACACACACCCCCTCGTGTGTCACACACGCCCTCTCACTCATGTGTCATGATTTGCCACAGCCCACGCTAGGCTAACATGCACACACCTTCCCTGTCACACAGAGCCCCTCTAGGGTCTCAAACATGGAGTCCAGTGCCCCTCACTCTTACACACACGCATACAGACACTTTTTTGTCATAGCCATGATCCCTAATGTCACAATCCAAGAGTCAGCGAGTATATGCACACACACACACACACACACACACACACACACAGAGGAACACACACCTGTCCTGGCCACACATTCTCCTCCTCAGCTCCACACACCCACTCTCTCCTCCGTGTCACCCAACACACCCACCCAGCCGGTCCCCGCGCACAATCCCGCCCCTGGCCCACTTGCGCCTCTGCTCAGGACAAGCCCCGCTCAGGACATCCCCGGGGAGGGAGGCCAGGAAGCCCGGCGTCCACAGGCCTCCTCTCCCCCTTCCCTCCCCTCCTCCCCTTGAGCACACATTTGGGATCCTCAGCAGACAAGAGGCTGGGGAACACCCTCGCCCGGGAAGGGTCACAGCACACACAGCACAAGGACACCGAGACACCCGCCCCGAGGGACCCATGCCCCCATCCTCGGTGCCCCTCCAAGGACACTTACCGCCCCTTCCCTCCCCCAAGCCTTCTCCTGGCAGACAAAGCTCGAAGCCCCGGGCCGCGGCGAGAGGGGGAGGGGGTCCGGCCCCCTCCCCAAAGCTCTCCACGGCCCCCGCCTCCCAGAGGGGCACCCAGCCCCTCCTCAACCCCCTGCACCTGCCACTTGGCGTGGGGGGCAGGGATGGAGAAAGGCGAGGCCCGGGTCCCCCCTCCAGCGCTGCACCCCCCGGGCCGCAGCCCCAGCTCACCTCCCGTGTTGCTGCGCTTGGTGCAGACCACCTCGGGGGGCGTTTCGAGGGGCCTCTTGCGGGAATCTAGGGCCTCGGGCTCCATGGGGGGGGCCTGGGGCGGCGGCTGCTGCTGCTGCTGCTGCGGCTGCGGCGGCGGTGGTGGGTTGAGG